GAGGGTAGGGATGGATGGGGTATGGGTGGGGTGGGTGGGGATGGGAAATAGGGTAGGGAAGGTTGAAAAAGAGTTTTGAAAAATATTTTCCCTTCTTGATAGGAATTGGAGGAAAATATTTTCCAAAACATTTAAGCCAACCAAACATGGGAAAATTGGAAAATATTTTTTGGAAAATGTTTTCCTTCATGCCAAACACACCCATAGTTTTAACATTTTTATACTTCTAGCTTTTTCTTTGAGCCAAACATCAAAAGTAATGTCCAACACCTTTACTTGAAATCTCCCCAAGGCTATTATTTTAATTATCATAAAAATGTAGCATGTCTATAACAAAACTTGCTCCTAGCTAATAACATTTTAAGTTAGTTAGCAAGAAATAGCAGAGTTTGGGGAATCAGAGCCCCATAACTGCTGGTTTTGAATTTAAAAACTACTTCTTGTAAGTCATAACAAGATTGCATACCCCATATACATCTACTTTCTGAGCTCCTTAATTCTTCTTGAATTAAAATTACCTCTTTTGATGCATAACTCACAGCTCCTATTCTCACATAGTGGCTCCAGTACTATATAGCAAAGTCCATTTTCATTCACACTCCATTTCTTAACAAACCAGAGCATTTAATGTATTAGGTGATGTTTAAGTATAGCCCTTCATGCATATCTCAATTACTCCAGCTATAATATCACATACAAAACATTGCCAACTTATAGAATCGATCTACAGAAGCAGGGGAGTAAGATGAACACTCATCCAAAAGTTCTGGAATCTTGTATCAGAAATCGACAAAGACCAACGATGGATGGACATAAATATCCACTGTCGGGAAGCCAGAGGTCATAAGTCAGCAAAATTGTCTGGTCAATAGTAAAGACGAGGAACATGCTAAAACCATCTTAATTAACATACCTTCGACAGGTCCAAATGTTATACTGGTATCGTCAAGACCTGCATTGACAATATCTAGAAGTCAACAGACCACGAAAAGAAATAGAGACAAATCATTTTAAGAATGTATCAGGGTTATTTACACCCCAAAAGGAAAAAATGCACTAAAAGAACAAAAAGCCATCAGTAGGAAAAGTAGATCCTAATGAAACAAGAACAATAACAGCAGTACATGCTGAAGAAAAAACTGCATGGTATAAGTAGAGCCAGTCAAAGGTACCATGTTCAGAGGATTCAAGAAACTAATTCATTTTCTTCTAACAAGGAGAAAAGCATAGTTCCATATCAATAAGGACAAGGATTAGAGGTTCAACATAGCCCCACCTAGCCGCCAATAGTTTCGCCAAAACAAAATTTTGCACAAAACATATCAAACATTTTCTGCTAAAATTTTGCTACTGACTAAAACAACCTTTTTTTTTGTACCAAAAGCAACTGCACTAGCTCAATTAAATTGAACATTCAGAAACTCAGCATAAAAAACAATAGCCAATGTAACTCATCTGAACAATCAAAGTAACACCAAAACCTTGGAAATCAGCCACCCCGCATATCACTGAAACAAAACAAGACCAGCATATCCAGATTGAAGACATTTGTTTCATATATAGTAGTTCCCTCACCTTCTAAAGCATAGAGATCACCATTTAAAGGACAGAATTAAAAAAGCAATCAAACTCAATCAAATATCAGCACATATAATGGTTTCAAGAATTCAAACTTCTATCTTCTAAAATTCCACAAAGCTTTGATAGATAAAAACAACAACTAAGCCTCAATAAAACATAAGGCGTTGGCTATATGACTCCTCAATTATCCATTCTGCTAAGTTTGGACCATTTCATTCCAACACTAGATAAAAACATTTGAAAATAAAGAACTAATAGGGCATACCCTTCTGAGAAAACTGCATAAAGGTATCGACTTTAAGCGTAGGGTTCTTATAATTTTTGTTTCTGGCCTTGAGAATCTCCTCAATCTCCTTATGATAAGACATCTTAGCAGACCCATTTGGTTCTTGATTGTGTTTAGCCTTTTTGAACTCCTTTAACAAGTTCCTCCATTTATCAGTACACATGGTAGGGGACCTATCAAACCCCTTTTCCCTCATCTTCAAGGAGATCTGGTCCCACAAGTGCTTGTTCGATTTTGAAGTGTTGAAGAGTGAGTCGAGTTCTCTGCGGAGGCTAATGAGCGCTCGTGTCTCTTCTTGAACCCATGTTTCTGCTCGCTTCTTGGGTGCTAATTTTACGTTGTTGTTGTTGTCCTCGCCACCGCTGCTGGTGGTGTCACCACCACTGATTCCGGGAAGGAGAATTTGCTGGGGTTGTTGAAGATGAGCATTAGGGGTGGCCACTTCGATGATCATGTGGTTACTGTGTTGATCCATTGATTCTTGCTCCTCGTACAAGTTGATAGATGTTGGAAGTTTATCAGACATGTAAGATAGAAATAGGTAATACTTGCTTGGACTTTGGCCTTCGGCCTTTGCAGTGACACTGACTCTGAAAGAAAGAGGCAAAAGGACCTCTCGAGTCTCAAATAAAAAGGTTCTTTTCCTATTATTTTTAGATTAGTAGCTTTACTTTTAAAAAATTATAACTTTATTTAAATTTTATATCAATAATTTTGAACTGAAAATTAAAGCGCGGAGGTCTTAAGTTCCACTCTCAACAAGATCATTCTATTTTTAAGTATTTCAATATTTTATTGTTACAGTAGGTTGTATCCTTTATATACACCTGAGTTGTATTCATTGTGCGAACGAATATAGTTGATATATGTTGTATTCGTTGTGCTGAATTGTACTCATTGTGCGAACGAATATAGTTGATATATGTTGTATTCGTTGTGCTGAATTGTACTCATTGTGCGAACGAATATAGTTGATATAGGTTGTATTCGTTGTGCGAACGAATGCAGTTGACACAAGTTATATTCGTTACGTATTTGAATACAAATGATACAAACTAGTAACAATTGGACAACAATGGTAATTAGGCAAACTTAATTAGTCTCTAACTTCAGTGCTTTAGAAAATTTATTCAAACAAATGATTAGGGACTGATTACGAGATGTGGGGGCAAATTTGAAATATTAAAAGTTGAGGATTAAAAATTAAATATCAATAAAAACTTCAAACCCCATATGATCTCCTCCTCCTCCTGCTCGAGTTTCTTCTTCTTCTTCAAATTTTGTAGATGATTCCAACTATGTTTAGATCAAATTTTGAGGTTATACCATTGTTTAACCAACTTTGAAGTTTTGAGATGAGTTTGAAATTTTGAACATGATTTTTATCTTGTTTTGAAGTGGTATTGTTTGAGATTGTCGGGAATAATATTTGGATGTTAAATACAAAATTTGAAATCATTTGGAATTGATTTGAATTGGATTTGGATCAAAACATTTACTGAAAATTTTCAAACATCTATATCTTGAGAGATGTTTAAACATCTATCAAGTTGTTTGAAACATCCCCTGAGCAAGGGTGGATTTAAGGGGGCGAGAGGGAGTCCACTCGAACCCCCTTCGTCGAAAAATTACATTATATATATAAAGCAAAATTTATTTTACGTCTCTATGTATTATACTTTGATTTTCTTGACTCAACCTCTATATATTTACCTTTTCTTTTTTGATCCCCATTAGTGGAAATCTTGGCTCCACCACTACCTGTGAGTTGTTTATACATATCTAACAATATCTTAAACATCTCAAGATGTTTCAAACATCTTCTTCGTTGAGCATCTACTTTTTCGTTTATTATCATCATCATCTTCTTCTTCTTCTTCCCTACTTCCTTTTTTTCCTAGTATTTTTGAAGTGTGAGAGAAAGAGAGAAAGAATAGTGATCATTTTGTGATGCCAGGTTCTGCACAAACAATCCAAGAAGACGTTTAAACATCTCTTTGAATGTATCAAACGTCTCAGACGTTTCAAACATCTGTGAAATATCTCTTCTAATGTTAATCTGTTTAGTGAAGTGTATATCAATAGAAATTGTAGAAAACCTTGTTTTGTGTTAGAGAACACCAAGTCACTAGATATTGGAATAAACTGGTTCCAAGTTGAGCAAAATAGATATTAAAAATTCATACAGCCGTTCACGACTAATTTGATTCAGGAATAATAGTAGCAATTATTGTCAACATACCATAATTATCCTCTTCTATCCGAACTTTAGATCAATTATACTTTACAAGTAGGGGTGGAGTTAACAAGTAACATCATACCAATGTTTTGTACAAAAAAAAGAAATGAAAAATCTGCATATTGTATGGATTCTTGAATTCTCACTTTTACGAAATAATCACTTCTTCCCTTATACTACTTTTAGCCAAAGGTAGATTACATATTTATTTTATTACTTGTCGCGACCAATCAGGCCAAAAGAAATGAAATAAGAATTTTATTTCGTTTAGTTAATAGCTTGCAATACCTCATTTTTCTTTTTTCATGTGAGCAAATGAAGCACTTTTACTTACTACGAGAGACCACGCTAACGTTATTTATGGTTTGGGGGTAACGCTTGGAACTTTAAGAAATGACGTAAAATCACTATCATTTTTCGTTCCCTCAAAACTTTAAACTCGGTAACAAATGAAAAGGGAGTAAACAGAGAATCACAAGAAGCTCCTTGTGATTTGAGACATGGCTTGATCATTAGAAAAGTTCTTATTATAGCTACTATGATTGTCAATATCATTTCGTTTCGGTAATCGGGCGGAATTCTAGTTTTATGGCCCTAAAACGCCAAAAAACGAGAAACGGTCATGACGAGACGGTGACTATTGTTCCTTTGGTCGTTTTTGATGATTCGGCAAAATTTTAGGCGGTTCGGGTCCGGTAGCCCGGATGCATGCAGATGGCGTGGACTATAGCACATGAAAATCTGAAAATCGGACGGAATTCTAGTTTTACGGTCCTAAAACGCTAAAAAACGAGGCCATGTCCATGTCCATAAGACTAACATATTGTCACATTCACAGAGCCGGCTCAAAGGCTTGACAAGTAAGGCATATGACTTAGGCCCCCGATTTCAAAGGGCCCCAGTTTTAAAAGGAATATGTTACGCGTTAATTTTTTCTTAAAAATGTTTAAGCTTTTTATATTAAAAATTTATCATTGTGAAGTTGATTTGACTATTGAGGGATAAATAAATCCTCTTGGGTAAAGTAAATATATCTTTATAATTTTCTTAATTTTGATGTAACCTTTATTTTGCATTTTTACATTCCAACCACTAAAACCTATAAGTATTATTTTAAGAAATTGAGATTGCTAAATGGTGAGAATTTGAAGGGAAAAAATATATTGTATTAACCTTTGATGATCCTTAAAGCACAATAGTACCACTAATATTGATGACTTAGACTTATATGTTGAGTTAGAGTTAAGGAAAATAGTACAAATAGAAGATAATACTTTAATCAATACGCTTAATTATATCAAAAGACTTGATTCTTTTTTAAATGCATAACAGTTGCCGCAACGAAAAAAAGTTTTTTAAAATAAAAATATATAAGATCAACAATGTCTCAAGAGTGATTAAATGTCACGACCCAAAAATCCAGCGCTACCGTTAGGCAAGCCAACTATAAATCAACATGCCAATGGTTAATCCAAAATGCATTTCGAAACAATTACAGAAATAAGGAGTAGAAATCTTTCATTTTTATAAAAAAAAAAATAGATGTTATTATTTTAAATGTTCGAATAAGGCCAAAATATAAACTAGGAAATGATAACGGAATACAATTAAGAGCAAAAATCTAAATCTCCAAAACCCGGTGTCACAAGTACATGAGCATCTACTAGAATATACAATACTACTATAACAACTGTCTAGAATAGAAATTAGACAGAATACCATAAATGGATAAGACGGAGACTCCGTGTGCTGCGGATCATAACATAAAGAGCAGCTCACCACAAAGTCTCCGCAGCAACTACGCTTACACGCCCAGATAACCACCAAATGTATTTGTCTCAGTACTTGCACAATTAGTGCAGAAGTATAGTATGAGTATGTAAATCAATGTGTACCCAATAATTATCCAGCCTAACCCCGAAAAAATAGTGACGAGGGGTCGACATCGACACTTAGTAGTGGTCCAATAAATCAAGTACAGTAAAAGTAGGCAAGTATGAAGCATGACAAGTAAAACAATAAAAATAGATATATGTACATAACACGATCCTCAACTAGAGAGTAGACACATGTCCTCAATAATCGGATACTACCTCGAATGGACTCATAGGTACACCGACTCTACCAAGGTGAACGACCCGATCCCATAAGAGTAATAGCACGATATCCTGTCGTGGCTTACAACCAGATCCCATAATACTAGTGTACAATGCCGAGGTTGTACGACCCAATCCATAGATGCATCTCATAATACTGTCGAGGCGAACGACCCGTTCCCATAATGGTACTGCTGAGGCGTTCAGTCTGATCCCATAGGAATAGTGAAACTTGACGGGTCACTGGACCCACTCACGAATATATGTGTGAGTTATGAAATTGAGGAGACTTTCAAAAAAATTCGTACAACACGGGAGAAATCTGTAAAAGGAAGTATAATTTCTACGACAAATCGAGTAGCTCGTCAAGTATCTAAATAGCAAGTCCAATACCTTGCTCAAGTCTAGTCTCCAGCTAAAGTACAAATTAAAGTATTTAAACAAGCAGAAATAACTCAAATAATACAATTTAAAGCATGGCAAAAGTCTAAGTCTACCTAGACATAATTAGGAATTCTAGCATACGCGCGGACACTCGTCACGTCATACGTGCGTAGCTCCAATAACATGTAGCACATATAACACTTACAGGGTAAATTCTCCCTCACAAGATTAGACAAAAGACTTACCTCGCTTTGAAATTTGATAATCGGCTCCAACGCCTCCCTAATACCTCCAACCAATGCCAAATAGCCCAAAATTAGTCAAAAAACGCGTAAACCAATCAAAATTTACTCAAGGACTCGTAGTTTAACAATTAGAAACAAATTCCCAATTCCACATGAAAAGTTAACAAAGTCAACCCCTGGGCCCACATGCCCGAATTTTGAATATTCTAGAAGCTAAATGTTACCCATAGCACCACAAACTCAAATATATAATTTATTCTCAATTCTATGTCCAATTTCGTGGTCAAAACTCAAAAATATCATGTCTAGGTTTTCTTTCAAAATTCCACAATTTATACTGATTTACATGTTAAAATCCATATATAATCCATGTATTTAACTCACAACAAGTGAGAATCACTTACCTCATGATAGATGATGAAAATGCCCTTTCAAAATCGCCTCAAAATTGACTCCAATGGAAGAAATGAGATACAAATGAGCCAAGTCCCAATTTGAAATCTTATACACTGCCGAGTCGTCCTTTTTCACGATTGCGAAAGTTTTCTCACGATAGCGAAGGCCAAATCAGCCTTGCCCAGAACTTTTTATTTGCGAACACGAGGTCCTCTCCAACAACCTGCCAAACCTACGCGAACACGAGCTCAGC